TTATTATTTTTATTAAATTATTAAATTATTATTTTTATTAAATTAAATTTTCAGTAATTAATTTATTGATTAGTGAGAATAAAATAATTCTTTATAAATATTATAAATACGGGGAATCAGAGTTCAATTTCGGAGAGGGAGCCTGAGAAACGGCTACTAGAACCAAGGAAGGCCGCAGGCGCGCAAATTACCCACGGAGAGTTACATACTGAATGACATTCTGACATACTGACATACTGACATACAAGTGAAGCTAATAATAAAATAAAATAAAAAAAAAAAAATAAAAAAAAGCGTGTAAAAATAGTAAAATGAGTGATAAATTTATTGTCATTCCTTTTTTTCTTGCTTACACTTTCTAGCTGTCAGTTTCACTTGATTAGTTTATGTAAATTAATTTAGCGTATATTTAATAATTTTAAGAATTTTATAACAAATAAATTATGGCAAAAAAAAATTAGAAAAAAAAATTGACATATATATGTAGAAATTAAAAAAAATTAAAAATGCAATTTTTTAAAAATAAATTTTTGAAACAAATTTTTTTGTTAAATCAAATTATAAAATTGTTAAGTGACAGCTAACTTTAAATTAATGTCATTTAGTTTAGTCTAAATTTGAAAGTTCTATCATTTAGGTTTAAATCAGGACAATAGATAGAGCCACCAGAAATATCAACTACTTACCAACCTGCGGTCATTTTATTTTCACAACGCTGGCAATGAAACTCTCTATAATATCTTTATATTTTTTTGTAATCCGAAAATGGAACCAGAATTTGAGCTAACCAAAATTTTGTTATTATTTGACGACCACACGTGACAATTGACAAGACTTTGTTAATTATTCACAAGGCATGACAATTATTATTAAATCTTAATAAAAAGACTCTAGTGAAAAATGTCAGTTATAAAATGCAGGCTAGCAACTAATTGGGTTTGGAAGTGCAATAAATTATTATTAAACATAAACACAAGAAGACTTAGTAAAAATACAGAAAGTGATGAAAAAAATGTTATTCCTCCTCGTGAGGAAGGTAAAATGCAAGGAGCGGTTTTAAAAAAATTCTCTGAGCCTTTTATTATTGACAATCTTGATATACCTTCTATCAATGCAAATGAGGTATGAATTTTTTAAAATAATTTATTCATGAATTTTCACTGTACTAAAATTGAGAGACATCTGACAATTTTTAGAATTTTTTTAACAAATAAATTATAACAAGAATAATTTATTCTTTAAAAGCTCTAAAAAATTATTGATGCAATTTTTTAAAAATAATTTTTTAGGCCTAGTTTATTTTTAAAGAAAAATTTAAAAAATTGTCAAGTGTCTGCTAATTTCAGTGTCATAAATTTTATTATAAATAATCAATAAAATTATTTTTTATTACAGGTGTTGATAGACGTGCAGTATTGTACGCTCAATGGTCCAGATATTTTAAAAATGAAAAACTTACACAGATCTCCACCAAAGTTACCGGCAATTTTGGGTTATGAAGTGGCAGGAAAGTTGCTGGAAGTTGGAGACCAGGCTAAGAAGCAAGGGTTCAAAGTTGGAGATAAAGTTGTCGCTTTAAATAAAGTTCAGTTTGGAGGTTTAGCTGAGCGATGTGTCGCTGAAATGACTGTAAATATTTATTTTATTATTTGTGAGTATGTGCAACTAGGATAATGATATCTAATGTTGTAAATTTTTAGGACATTTGGAAAATTCCGTCGTCTATTAAAACTTTAGACACCGTTTGCTTAATGAATAATTATCTCACGGCTCTAATTGGTCTTGAAAAAAAAGCTGACCTTCAGGAAAATGAAATAGTTGTCATCAATGTTGGTCTCAGTGGAGTTGGTCTCGCTGCTGTTGATATTGCTGCTAATGTCTTCAGAGCACAGGTGAAAAATTTTTCTTTTAATTTGTTATAGCGATAATAATTAGAACTAGCAACCTTGCAGTCACTATGTGACTACCGCGACTTATGAACTATGAATAAATAAAATTTTTCTTTATTAAATATTGAATTTTGTTAAATTGCACTGTACTTTTTTAACTATTGACTTTTGTAAAGATATAAGCTCATCCCGATGTTATACTCATCAAGAGCTTTCATTTGAGTACCCACATGCATTTTTGATATATTTTTCATATATACATATATATAATATATATAAATATATTAAAAATGCATGTGGGTACTTAAATGAAAGGTCTTGATGAGTGTAACATCGGGATGAGCTTATATCTTTAAAAATGTTAATGGTTCACAAGATACAAGGTAATTTCTTAACTATTGATATTTTTAAAGATATATGCTCATCCTGATGTTACACTCATCACGAGCTTTCATTTGAGTACCCACATGCATTTTTGATATATTTTTCATATATACATATATATAATATATATAAATACATGAAAAATTAATGTGGGTACTCAAATGAAAGGTCTCGATGAGTGTAATGTCGGGGTGAGCTTATATCTTTAAAAATGTCAATAGTTCACAAGATACAAGGTCATTTCTTCATTATTGATATTTTTAAAGATATCAGTTCATCCTGATGTTACACTTATCAAGAGCTTTCATTTGAGTACCCACATGCATTTTTGATATATTTTTCATATATAAATATATGAAAAATTGATGTGGGTACTCAAATCAAAGGTCTTGGTGAGTGTAACATCGGGATGAGCTTATATCTTTAAAAATGTCAATAGTTCACGAGATACAAGGTCATTTCTTAATTATGTATCTAGAGATAGAGTATTTTCGAATGCAGCCTTAATACTTATCATAATAAATTGACTATCGGTGACAAATTCAAGTCAAAACCTTTCCAATGACACTAAATTTCACTTAAAAAAACCGATTTTATCATATAAATAAACTGGCCACAAAATTTTGCTTATTCTCTTAATAATATAAATAATTAATTGTTTTATAATTAAGGTGATTGGAGTTTGTAAATCAGAAGATCGTACAGAAATAGTACGTGATAAAGGAGCATTTGCATCTTTAAAATACAGTGATAAGAAATTAATGAAAAAAATAGTTGAATTTGCCGCTGAACGAGATATTAAAGATGTTTTTGACGGAGCTGAGGGTGAAAAATTTAAAACAATGTTAGAATGGTAAAAGATATTTATTTTTCATTTAATATTGATGATTATAAAACAATCTATTTAATAAAACAATTTATTTTTACAGCTTTACAAGTATTTACAAAGAAGATCATCAAAACAGTTTGTTACGTGATGATAACTTTGCAGTATTAATTGAACATTTATCGAGAGAAGGTATTAGATTAAAATAATAAAATAAGTAAAAGTTAGTTTTATTTATTGAAAGAATAAAATTTAATTAGTAATTTTTTTTTTTCCGAAGGACGTATAATTATCGCTGGATTCGCTGTAACCAAAGAAGACTACGATGAAGACAGCTCAACACAGTGTCCATTTTCCATCACGGGTATTGACATAGTGGAATTCAAAGAAAAAAATCTGGAGTCATATCGGTAAAGATAATTATAGTGTTAATTTAAAGTTTGGAGTAAAATAATATTTATTAAATAGATAAATTTATTACCAATATTTCAGCGAGGCAGGCAACGATATTTTGCAATATCACGAAGAAGGTTTAATAAAACCTTCGTACTCGATGGTGGTCGGTCTCCATAAAATCAATGACGCGGTTAAATTTATAACTGATTTAAAGTGTTCAGATAAGGTAAATGTTACAGATTGTAATATAAGCAAATTATTTTTCTTTCGCTATTAATAATAATTAGTAACTAATAGCCGTTTTTTTTTTTATCCAGGTTGTTGTCGATCTTAAAAACCCTGAAGCTGAAATAAAGTTAAAAGATAAGTAATTTATATAATTAATCCCTCATAAATTATTTTACGACTATTAAATTTTTCTAATAAAAAATATTTTTAAAAATGAATAACTGATATATTTAATAATAATATTAGATTTATTAATTTATATATGTGAAGAAAGAGTTAACGAATGGCTTGTTAACGACACAAAATACTTGTATGATTACTCTAGAAACTCAACAACACTTATTATTTATTACCCAATAGCCTCTTATCGAAATTAGTATACCAGTAGTATAGTTATAAACCATTTACCGTTAATATATCACAGCGACAGGAGTCACTATTTATTTGCAAACATACTCGTGAACGAACTCTCAAATAACAGTTCACAGGTAAGGGTAAAAGTCCTTGTCCACTCTCTTAAATAAACGATGACAACGTCGTTATCCGAGAGAAAGGATATATTAATCTCAATTCTTTTTTTTTTTATTATTATTATTTAATACAAAACACTTGCTTTATAAATCCAAATATAAATATAAATAATGTGACTCCAAGATCGGTATTTTTAATTAATCAAGATACAAAGTTATTATTTTTAAGCCTGTTACCCGATCCAAATCTTTAAGAAGGTTCAATTTTTTATTATTTGTCTTTCACCATAATATTTTTCGGTATGAGGTCTTATATCATCAGAAAAATTCTTAACAGCCAGTGCCATTTTTTTCTCGTTTTCCTTTAAAACAAATTAAAATTTTGAAAAAAATGCTCTGATATGAAATAGAAAATTAAAAAATCTATTACGTAGCAAAGCGTTTTTTTTCGAAAGACTTTTTTGTTTATTTATTTATTTATTTAGGGTAGAAGTACCGTTTGTGGTCAGTGTACCTTTTTTGGCCACTTTAATTTCAAATTATTGTATAAATATTTCTATAAGCCAATTTATAAATTCTATAAATATTCTACTTGAATAGTTAAATTTTTTACAAATTAACTAAAATATCAAGTGGCCAAAAATGGTCCTAAGATGACCAAAACCGGTACTTCTACCCTATTTATTTATTTATTTATTTATTTATTTATTAGATCATGGGATTACATCCCCTGTGACCATACATCGTAAATAACAAGTAACTTAGTTATTAGCTTAAATTCTACTATAATCAAAAAATAGAAAACAAAAACATAGATAGAATTATAAAATATTAGTCTACAAAGATTCTAAATTTTGAAGAAGTACAATAATTTAATATTACTAATAATGGACATTAATCATTAACTGTTTAGAAGAAATAAAAAGCTGCAACCATAAAGACCGGTACGTAAGTGAAATTACAACAATTAAAATTTTATTCGATAGTTTTTGTTTGAAAATATGTATTTTTTTACTCACAATCAGTGTAACTTTTTTCGGTAAATGAAAAAATAATTCGGACAGCCCAGACCAGGACACGAACCTGGATCTTTTGGTTACGCACCAAATGCTCTACCAGTTAAGCTATCCGAGACACCTTCTGGTCCTGATCCTGGTCTGGGCCGTCCGAATTATTTTTTCAGTCAAATTTATCTTTAATGACAAATTTAGATATGAAATGTGGCTAAATTATATATGCTTAGAGGAAAATACAGGCTAAAAAAAATTACGAATAAATAAAAATTGTTTTATTAGACTGGATAGTCAATTAACTTAAAATTGTAAAAATATTAAAAATAACCAGTCTTTAGAAATAAATATTAAAAAAAAAATATAAATAATGTAATATTTTTTATAGGCTGAGAAACAACTGCAAGATATTTAATTTAACTGTAAAAAAGTAAACTACTGAATGGTTAATGCTCAATGCAAGAATTATTGCCGTTTTATTTTGACAAGTTGTATATTATTCATTATTTAATTCTGAACAACTATTAAAACTACCGGCAATTCTCACTAATATTTATAAATTTTTTATTTACAAACGTTCCCACGTTCAGCTTAATTTAAAAATAAAAAATAGTTTTATCTATTGAACAAAGTCTCCAACTATCTATCATTATTGTGATAACTATGGCATCGCAGTAGACAGTCACAAGCTTGGAAAAAAAAAAATAAAACGCCCCCATATTCCTGGTCAGGGATACATGAGTTCAAGGAGAAGACCCTTGGGCATGGGCGTGGTGCTCTTAATAGTTGACAGCTTACTTGACCATGCATTTTTTAAGTTACTAAAGGCTGCTGAAAAATTCACCGATACCATTAAATAAAATACGATTGTCTTGCGCAATCAAAAAATAAAAAAAAAAGGAACAAGTAACATAAAATAAAAATAGCAACGTAAGTACTTGCGGAACTTGCAGACAGATCCTTTAAGACTGTCGGTATGGAGAAAGGCGGCCACCCACTACATTACGCAAGTCTTTGCTCCAGTTATCAGTGTGCAATTCTTTTTTAATTCCACACGATATAAATATGTTTACAATTACTATTAAATTTTTTAATTAATTAATTAATTAATTTATAATATCAATGATAATTATAGCAAGTATTAACTTTATACTTTAAGTATTAAATTAATATAATAATACAGGATTAAAAATGAATTATCAGGGATGAGTGGACTTGAGTAATTAATAAAGACATTAACTACTAGAATGTCTTGTGAAGGCCGCGTTTAAATAAAAGTAAACTGCAATTCAATCCTTTATAAATCAGTATAAAAATGAAGTATTATATCAGCTTAACTTTTAACTGTTGTGTTAATATAAAAAGCTATTTAACGCATATTAAATAATACATTACTTTAATTTATTCATTTAGAAAGTAATAAAATACTCCAACGACTCAATTAATGATTAATTTTAATTAATTTCAAAATAATAATTTTTTTAGCAGATATTTATAATTTAAATAAACAAACTGAGGGACCACTAAAGCCTTCGGATACGTATAGTTAAGTTAATATAAGCTGTATCGAGAGTTTTGAGAGGTGGATAAGACAGTAGGGATAAGAAACGCGTGGATGTAGTAAAAGACCACTCGCTACTTAGTCTACCGATCGCGTCCTCACTGATAACTTGCTGTATTTCTTCTTTCCTCAATTTCTGACAGTGTTTATACATTCACTACTCTTCGGTTAAAATTAAAAAAAATAATAAACAAATTACTCAACAAATATCTATAAAAAATAATAAATTTTTAATGTCCATAAAAAAATTTTTACTTTTAAAAATGCAAATGTGAATTTTTTTAACGATCGTGACCTTTCGATACCGGCTTAATAATATTTTTATTTTATTACACTTTAAGTGACTTACAATAAATATATTTATTAAAAAAATCCAAACATCAAAGACTTATCCGTAATATAAAAATCTAAATCTTTTAAATAAAATATTTTAAAATTAATTAATTAAGGAAGTGAAGGCTACTTAGTATTAACAGCTGTTTCTTATTCTGTTACTTGGTCAAGTAACACGCCCAATGTACCAACTCGCGCTTCGTCAACTTTCAATGAAAGAAAGTTACGAAAGTCCGAAAGACTTAAACTTATATTCGTGATCAATAAACAAGTTATATATTTACATTACTATATTAATTACCATATAATTTTAATATAAAATAATAAATAAATATTTATTGATTTTATTTTGCCACTCTACTACCATATTAATTACAAGTATGACCACTCGAACGCCAACAAACCGATCATTATCATTTTCATAGAAAATTTTATTTTATTTGAGCGAAAGTGCCGTTTTTTTTTTTTTTTAATATATTTTATAAAATATATATTTTAATTACAAATTTTTGGACATTCTATAACAACAGAGTAACTAATGGGGTGGAAACGTCGGCTTAATTGCACGATGATTCTTCGAGAGACGATTAATTGGTCACAGAGTGTCAATGGGGATTGATTTTAATCAATTGTGTGCAGTTTAGTGAAATCGAACCAGTGATCGAACGACTACATACAAATATATATCCTTACTTTTGTAAATATATATTGTATTGTTTAATACCACTATTACTACCCCCCACCACCATCATCATTGTTATAATTATTGTTTTTTTTAAATCAAGCGTTAAAGTATTTACCAAGGAAGACTATAGGAGAAATTAGGAAATAGAAAGTCCGAATTCTGTGGATTAATTTGATAAAAGGTATGCAATTAAACAAACAAATTATTAAAATAACACTTGATAATAATAATTAACAGGTAACGAGTAAAAAATTTAAATACACTATTATTTAAACACAGCGTTTACACACGTCAGCTGTGAACCACGAGGGAAAGTCTTTTGATTCTTCCTTGTATTGGTTCGTGCATCTTTTGCGCTCCCGCCAGGACATATTCCTACCTATTATTATTATTTTATTTTTACTCTTTTATAATTATTAATTATTAATACAACTTAAAGGATGAAAATCAAGTTAGCTGACATTTCAAAATTTTTTATTAAAAAAAAAAAAATTGCCACATGTAAAAAACTTGAAAAACTATAAGTGCAATTTTTTAGAAATATCTTTTTAGTTGTAATTTAATTAAAGAAAAAAAATAAAAAATTTTTAAGACGCCTGCTAACTTCAGTGTCATCTTAAAGGAAGCTTCTTTAAGATAAATAATTATTTTATAAATGAAACCGCTTCTTTTACGTATTTTGTTTACATTAACGCTCATTTGTATACTTTTCAACAGGTGTCTAACGGTATTGACCAAATACTAGGCCGCTGCTTATTATTCTTTTATATTTTATAAAAATAATTATTAATCACAATTACATTGATTTCTTCTTAAACTATTTCCCAAACTATTTTGAATAGCTTTAAACTTTCTGATTTCTTCTCAGACGTAAACTCTAATTATTAAAATAATATTGATAAAAAAGAATTAATTTCACAAGAATCCGCGTGACCTATAACAAAAATCCCAGCTAATTATCAATTAAAATAACCAACAAAAATTAAATAATTACTCCTATATATTAATCATTTAGCGATTTAATTGCTATAATTAACTGAGGCGTTTGTCAACTAAAAGCGTTTTTGCATCAGAAAAATCATGAGTAATTAGTCATTTTTCTAAACTTTTTATTATTAAGGTTTATTAATAATAAACTAAACGTCGACAAATTTTGATCGAATGCCTGTACTCGCCTTGTAAATTATTATTTCCCGTCGATATCATATACATATATATATATATATAAATATATACAGATGTAATACGTAGTGGACCGGCTTCACGCAACTTTCACAAATGGCGACCTCATCGTCTTGCTCTCTCAGATCAAAAATTTGCCGGTGACTTGTTTCTCTTTCTTATTTTCTTACCACCTATTTTTTATAAAACCCAATAATGTAAATGTCTATATCTATATACATAAAAGTATATATTTATGTATCGACAATTTATCGCGCTCAATAATTTACATAACAAACTGTATTGGGTTGAGTTAAAAAAATGAAAGAGATCAAGGAGTATCCGCCTACAAATATTTTTCCATTTACTTAACTCTTATTTATTTTTATTCTGCATTACTTTTTTACTTTGTTTCTGCTGATACTCGGTCTCGGTATTATATGTAGGTATATAATACCAGTCTTGAGTCTTAAGTTAAAACTTTAAAACTCAGCAAGACTAGTTGTTAAATTACCTTAAGCCCGCACTGATAGAAGAATTTGTTTGTAGTTAAAAATACTTGTTAATATTTATGATACTAAAGTTAGCCGACGTTTTTAATTATTTGATTTTTTTTTTAATAATTAAATTAAAACGAAAAACTATTTTTAAAAAATTTCACTTGTAGTTTTTGAAGTTTTTTACAAGTGACATTTTTTTTTTAATTTTTTTCTAATAATTTTTTCAATAAAAATAATTCTAAGAATTTTTAAATGTCGGCTAATTTAATTTTCATTAATATTTAACAAATATTTCTTAGTATTTAAAAAAAATTATTAATATTTAATAAATTAATATCAGATTTATTAAATACAAACAAATTATTTTAAATACTAAAAAAATATTTGTTTAATTAAAAAGTGGTCTCTAATTAATGCTTAAACTATTTTTCTATACAAATAAATTCTTCTATCAATGCGAAGCTAAAAAAACTCGAGCGGAGTATCTTCCTACAGAATCCTCGGCCAGTTATCTGTAAGGATAATTAAAATACATTGGATCTATTTTTTAAAAATTTTTTACGCTTTTAATAATGAATAAGATTATTCTAAAGGATGTTAATGCAAGTCCGCATAAACCTGTAACATATATAAATATAAATTATACGTATAAGAGTATAAAGTCGAGGACATGCTACACGTGTTTAATACATTAAAACGATACCTCAGCCATCTTGAAATACCAGCAAGGATATTTACCGAGTCCTGGTGTGTACTTCTCTTCTATACAATATATATATACATCCTCTGTGTATTCTACATCGTTATAGTTCGTTGTAACCTGCACGAACGACTCGTGTATTATCCGTTTTTTATGTTTATTTTTTAACAACATATATTTTATTCTTAGCTGCATGTCCTGATGCTCTGATGTATGCCTGGAATATTTTTTATTCTCATTCATCCACATACTTTTTATCTGAGTGAAAGTATGTACGTTCTCAGGCTTAAAAATTACTCGGTAATAATAAAATAATAAAATTGAACAAAGTATTTATTCTAATTTAATAATAATATTATTTTGTAGTGCAATAGTTTAATTAAATGCAAGTTTCAAGAGAATTAAATAGATTTTATTGATTGAAGAAAATTTGAGTTAATTATTATGACACTGAAGTTAGCAGACGCCTAAAAATTTTTGATTTTTTTTATTAATTAAATTATAACTAAAAAGATATTTTTGAAAAATTGCACTTATAGCTTTTCAAGTTTTTTACATGTGAATTTTTTTTTTTTAATTTTTTAATTGAAATTTTTTCAATAAAAAATTTCTAAAAATTTTGAAATGTCGGCTAAATTAAATATAACATAATTTAATAATAATAATTATTAATTACATTAGGAAGAAATCGACGGATGTAATTTATTGTTACTCTGGACTTAATTTAATGGTTTAAATAATTGCAATAATAATAATAATGATGAGGATAATGATAGTAAATATGCAAACAAGAGTAATTCAAGTTTTCTAGTGCAGCGCATGGTGATACTCTTAAGTTAACTACAGAAACTAAACAGGCATCAAGATGATGCACGTTTCACGGTTGAACGAATCATTAAATTACGATAGAATAAAATTGACCACGCGCGACGAGATATCACTTTCTCTGACTTACTGTCTATAAGGATTTACTTGTATTGGATTAACTTACTCAGTATCTAAGTACATGTGTAGATGTTCATTTTTAAATAACGTTGATAAATATACTCGCGCGTACAGTTTACAGGATACATATTATATTATTTTTATTTTTTATATACTATATTATTGTATACGTATGTAAAAATAAAAACGAAAGACATTCAAGAGCCATGGTCAACGCTGTTCCACGGGTATAGTTAAACTTAGGCCGGGACAGAAAGACATGATTATGGTATTTTTTATTTAATCTGTTAGATCTTGATACACAATTAGGGAAAGCAACTAAACCGCGCATAGAAATATTTATGTTATATACTATTTACGTAAGGTGAAAATTCTTTCATGCAATTCCCGCATTTTATTTAAATTAATTATTATTATTAATAACTAATTTAATATTATGAGAAATAGTTATTATTAATGGCGTTACTAATAATAGTTTTGTTATTAAATAAATGTTAGCAATTTAGCTAATTAAATATATTTATGTAAATATATATATTTTTAGGTCACGAGTTGCCCGTAGCCATGAACCTCGCGCTGCATAGACTCCTGCTGCAGGGTATGTATACATTTTTTATAATAATAATAATGAAAAAAAAAATTTCTTCATCTAAAAGGTCAATAGATTTTTAATTAAAATAAAAAAAATATATTTATTAAAATTCCCCCATGAAAAAAAAAATATAAAAAGAATACAAGTCGAAATACATGAAAAATATATTAAAAATCTATAAAAAATATATAAATTATGTATAGTAAATATATTTTTGATAACTAACTTTTGGCCGATTTTCATATATATTTTATATATTTCAAATATATTTTAGATCCCGTACAAAAAAAATTTTGGTTCCGGATGAACTTCAGATTGTGAAACAAATATGAATTTCATAATGAATTTCATCTGGAATTCCAGATGAATTTCATGATGAATTTGAAACAAATAGTATATGAAACTTAATTTTTTTAATTGTAAAAAAACTATTTAGGAGAAAGTTATATTGGAAATTTTAGTGTAACTTACGCTGTCTCATTATTTACGATTCTTAAACTTCTATCTGGATAAATTTTTGGAGTACAAGAACACAATATGTAAAATAATAATTCAAAATTCATTATGAAAGTCAGCTGGAATTCCAGATGAATTTCATGATGAATTTGAATCACTCTGTATATAAAACTTAATTTTTTTAATCAGTAAAAAAATATTTGGAGAAAGATATATTGGAATTTTTAGTGTAACTGACGCTGACTCATTATTTACGATTCTTAAACTTCTATCTGGATAAATTTTTTTGAGTAAAAGAACACAATATTCAGAACAATAATTCGAAATTCATCATGAAAGTCAGCTGGAATTCCAGATGAACTTCATGATGAATTTGAAACAAATAGAATATGAAACTTAATTATTTTAATTTGTGAAATAATATTCGGAGACAGTTATATTGGAATTTTTAGTTCTATTTACACTGGCTCAACATTTGCAATTCTATAACGCCTATTCGGATAAATTTTTTGGAGTAGAAGAACACAAAATTCAGAATAATATCACGAAATTCATCATGAAAGAATTATTATTTTACATTTTGTTTTTCTACTCCAAAAAATTTATCCAAATAAACTTTATAAAATTGCAAATGTTGTGCCAGTGTAAATAAAACTAAAAACTCCAATATGATTGACTCCGAATATTTTTTTACAAATTAAAAAAATTAAGTTTCATATACAAAGTGATTCAAATTCATCATGAAATTCATCTGAAATTCCAGATGAAATTCATTATGAAATTCATATTTGTTTTTTTTTTTATATTTTAAGCTATGTATTTTAAGATATATCTTGAATATATCTAAAATTTATGTAAAATATATATTTTATTTATTTACTTTATTTTATGAAAATAAAGTTAGCCGACATTTCATAATTTTTAGAAATTTTTTTATTGAAAAAATTTCAATTAAACAGTTAAAAAAAAAATTGTCACATGTAAAAAACTTGAAAAACTATAAATGCATTTTTTTATAAATATCTTTTTAGTTGTAATTTAATTAATAAAAAAAATCAAAAATTTTTAGACGTCTGCTAACTTCGGTATCATCTTTATTTTATTTAAATAAACAAATCCAACAGCCTAGGGGCCATCAACAGGGTTAATAATACAACAGTTAGTATATAAAAAAAAATTTTTGATTTATAACAAGATGCCTTATAGCTAGCATAGTGATTTCATATTTAATAGAATATTAATACTAATATTAATTATAAATTATAAATATTAATATTAATTATAAATTCAATAGATAGATTGATAAATGAGTAGACCATTGATGTGTTAGCAATTGCAAACCAAAACAAAAAAAAATTATAGTAATTGATAAAATTAAAAAAAAAAATAATATTAATAATAAGAATAATAATAATAATTATAAAAGTTGTAGCAATTGCACATAATTTTAACATATATGAAAATCGGTCAAAAGTTAGTTATTAAAAATATATTTATTAGACATATTTTTTATATATTTATATATTTTTTAGAGATTTTTAATATATTTTTTATATATCTCGACATATATTTTTTTTTTTCATGGGAGTTATAATAATAAATATATATATATAACACTTCTTTACATATATTCTTGGAATGTATACGCGTTAGACACTTATTTAATACATTGTACGATATATATGCAACGCGGTCGAAAAGCGTAGGAAGTATCACAAGCATCATCACTGTAATCATAATCACAATGATAATAATCGTCACTATGTACTATACAAAGACTACATATACATATTATTATAATTATGAGCAAATTCTCTTAAAAGACTCAGGATGTGTGGAGGATTCTTCCGGTAATTAATCCGCGAATTAGGCTCTTATCTTTCTAACTCAATGCATCTTATGATAAATTAAAGTTACTCATATAAATAAAATTTATTATTCACACTCCAATCGCCAAGCCGGTAAATTATTCATTAAACTATGAAAATATTTTTGTATATATCAAGTTAATCGTCAACGTCAACAGTGAGTCATCATATAGGAATCACGTAGGTGATATCTTATCGTTTATTATTATTAAATTCATCCATATATGTCCATAAAAAACATTACAATACATTAATAAAGTAATGAACATGTAATGAAAATTTAAGTGTAAATAATACCTAAGAATCTTCGTGTGCCCTCTTTCTTTCCTAGACTCGAGCACCTTCTCTCAAAAGTTGCGTAATCGTGTAACTATTGCTGTATAATAGCAATAGCATCACCGACAGCGCCAGGACAAGCGAGACCTTTACTTTCCATGGTAAAATGTACTTGTTTTTTTGCTGGAATAATAAAAAATAAATAAAAGATGCGCTGCTTTTAATTTTATTAGTTTACGGCTTAGCTGGATTAGAGAAGTTGAGAAGAAAAGTTTCGTTTTTATTATATATTCAAAATAATTAATACACAATAAAGAAATTTATTTATGTATCTAAAGGCATACAATTGTTGAATTTCCACAAAGTAAATATTTCTAAAATAATAAAGAATTTCCGTTTCCGGTGAGAAGCCTCACGGAGAATAGCAATGACTTGGTTTTCGCGCGAACGTAGTACGAGGTTTACAGGTCGGAAGTTGATGCCAGATGCATTAGGCAAATCCAACTGTATTTAACGATAATAATAGAAAGAAGAAATAAAACACAACCCTGAGGACTTGGTAGTGATAAGGAAGATTAATGCTTTCCATGCGTAACGCGGTTATAAACTCATATGCATGTGTAACGCTCGAATAATTTCTCAACGATTGGATGCACTCGTAGATTACATTAACGATTTACGAGAAGTATTTATTAATTGCTTGCGTAATTTAATCGCTACTGTTACTTGGACTTATAGGAAATATTTTATTATTATTATTATTATTATAATTAATTATTTTTAAATTTAGACTGAAAAAAAATTTTTAAAAAAATCTTGAACTAAAAAAATTTTTGTAATTTAAGGAAATTTTACTTGATTTAAAATTTTTTTTGCTTAATTGAAGATTAATTAAACTTTCCAAAATTTTGTTATTAGTTTAAAATTTTTTTATTTGGATGAAGAAATTTTTTTATCAAAATATCGTAAGAAAAATCTATAATTCCCACACAGAAAAAACAAATTTCTTACGCCAAGAAAATTCGTCTGTCCAATTTTAAAACACAGTAACTGCAAAATTTTTATAGCTGATTTATTTATAACTTTTAGACCTTAATTTCATGTATATTTTCTTAAAAATATTTATATTCAAGTATTTTCTAATTATAAATCAAATTTTTTTATCAATTTGGCGCGCAAACTTTTTTTTAACAAAAAAAATTTTTTTTAATCTTAAAATTGTCAGTGTTTTGAAATTGGGCAGCTGAATTTTAAGTCAAAAGCTATTTTAGAACAAAAAGAAATTTTTTTGACTCAAGAAAATCTTTAAAAAAATTTCTTCATCCAAATAAAAAACTTTTAAGCTAATAACAAAATTTTGAAAAGTTTAATTAATTTTAAATTAAGCTAAAAAAATTTTAAATCAAGTATCTCGATAAAAAAATTTCTTCATCCAAATGAAAAACTTTTAAACTAATAACAAAATTTTGGGAAGTTTAATTAATTTTAAATTAAGCAAAAAAAATTATTAATCAAGTAAAATTAACTTAAATTAAAAAAAATTTTTTTTTCAGTGCACTCTTGACCTCGAATTGACTTGTTCGATATTTGATACGATGATTTAAACTTTCGTCTTCATTTCACGTATCAAATTCCGAGTTTCTGAATTACGTAGACGACTCCGTATTTCATAGAAGATCTCTTCCTAAGAGTATTAGATTTAGATAGTAGAGCGTTACCTACACCACATATATAACACCAGTACTGAGGGAAATGAGGTGAAAGGTGTACAGTGTAGTGTGCAAACTCTTCTTCTTTTTCTTACTGTTGGATTACGTGATTCTACAATACCACGAATGCCCTTTGGCGTCTAATAAACTCGGTGACGCTTCCTCGATGTTGATGGTTGCCATACTTTTTATTTAGCTGCTGTGCTGAAAATATTTATGCGCATAGTTATAAGTTATAACTCTACGTACATGTACATATATTCATTTTGGCATCCTCGAGAATATTTACGGTCTTTGTATTTAATAACCCAAGAAAGCACTTACTACTGTAATATAAAACAGAAGAATTTAATACCTTGGCACTTTATGCTTGTGCTTGTATAATTTAATGATCGGTAAAAATAAGAACCATTAAATGCATCGTATCGCGAAACGTTCAAGGACGAGTGTATGTTTTATAATCATCAGTACGTTATGTTATGTTAGATTTTACAGATCTCCAGAGGATTTATCGATTAATAGCCGGCCAGATCTCCGATCCTCCATGCTGAGCCTTTTCGTTTGTATTTGCTTATATTACTTTACCTGCCAATCTGTTTATATATTAAGATTAAGGCAGACGATCTGCCATCCACCATCCGCGGATCTATGGATTATTATTATACGGTAAATGTCACGGGATTCACACAGCCAATGCTGGAAAACGTTATATCATTTGGTTTGATGCTGATGCTTCCTCGCTGTCACGTCCTCCTCCACCATTAATGTCTTTTCTTATTATATCTAAATATATTGACCTCTATATGTACAATATAAATATGGATATATTATTATACATGTATAAAGTACAAATCCATCTTCATCTTCATTATTTTTAATTTTGTAGTATAACATTTTTATAAATAAGACTTCACTCTGTAATTATGACCAAGTATACGAGAAACGACTAAATTGACAAGAATTTTTTTTGAAGAGAATTAAATTTCTTATAAAAATCCTTTAGATAATTTTTTTCTAATAAAAAATTGAAATTCTGTGTAAACTACATGGAAAGAAGAAAACTTGAAAAATTGGATTATAAATTATTAATAATTGTATCGTCGTATTAAAAACTAGAAAAATTACAGTTTGAAATAACATTTTTTTAAATTCAAACTTTGAATATTAATTTTCAGAGCTTTTAATGTAAATATTACATTCTATAATGTAATTCTTATAAAATCTGTAATAATTACAATCTGAAACTGTAATTTTTCCATTTTTCATTTAAATTGACAAGAAATTTTTTTAAAGAGAATTAAATTTCTTATAAAAATTCTTCAGATAATTTTTTTGTATCTCCAATATTTAACTTAGAATTTTGAGTTCAAATTTACAGAATAATTATTCTTAAAATACTTTTTTACTTGAAAAAGTTTCTAATAAAAAATTGAAACTCTGTGTAAACTACATGGAAAAAAGAAAAAACTCGAAAAATTACATTATAAATAGTAATAACTGTTCCGTCGTATCCAAAACTAGAAAAAGTACAGTTCGAAATAACATTTTTCTAAATTAAAACTTTGAATGTTAATTTTCAGAGCTTTCAATGTAAATATTACATTCTACAATGTAATTCTTAAAAAATCTGTAATAATTACAATCTGAAACTGTAATTTTTCCAGTTTTCATCACGGAGCGCTACGCTACATTATATAGTGTAATTTTTCTTTTTTCCGTGTATAAAAAATACAATAAATTTGATAAGGTCTCATAATTTTTCCGTATGTTCAATATTTCTCCCATAATTTTGAAATGAATTTCAAAACTAATCAATACAAGAATCAACAATGAAAATGAAGGCTAACAATGATCTTCTGTAATCAATCAGAATTCATATAATTAAAAAAAAAAAAATTAATTGCAATTATAATAATAATTTAAATTATTGTTGCTGCTGTTATTGCATATATGTATGCTTGAAGCCGAGAAGAGATAGGTCGTGAAGAAATTTAATGCCGAGGTCACACACGATCCATTGCCGGTGGATCTATTAAACTAATTTCGTAACTAAAAAATTTAGCGACTTATTTATATTACCTGTTACCTGTTTTATATTTCACTCTACCTACACTTGCAAGCAAATAAGTGAATACATATAGTATAATACAGCAAACAGCAAACTATCGTCACTTCCGAGCACTGACATTTCGGGCAAGGATGTTGGTGAGACGTTATTACGTAAGGCCACGTGAAAGTTGGATATCAAATGACAGGCAATCGTTGATTCGATAACTATAAACATCGACAATCATTTCTCAGAACCCGATTTACGGATAATGATATTGCAAATAAAATATAAACAAACATTTTCATCCAAAAATAGATTTAATAAGTTTCAGATCTAAAAATTAGAGACACATCTTCATAAATTCTAAAAAATCTTTCAAGTTATGTGAGAAAAAGTTAAAAAATTTATTTTTCTTCTTCTCACTATAAAAAATTTAATTTTCAATAAATCTTATTTTAAACCATCCGTGGGTGGTTGAAGATACATCCGTAAATTAAAAATAAATTTATTAAAATTTCAACGATCGAAGAAACGATGGATACGGTACGCCGAGTAAAGGAATAAAACAAAATAATTACAAGGAATTATTTATGAAATTTCGGCCTTATACTTGCATATATACACAGAGAATGGAATTCCCGGATAGACCAGAGTCTCTTCGCTTACAATTTCTTTCCTCCTTTCTCTTTCACATCATTTTTTTGTTCAGGCATTCAATAGCTCTCAATAGTTAATTTACTTACTTACATTAAATCATATCCTCTGTACTAGTACTAATATTATGCACATATAATAATAATAATAATTATTAAATAAATAATTACAATAATCCATTTTTTTAATTTTTTATTATTATTATTTTAAGCTAACAAATTATTTTAAGCTACAAATTAAATCTAATTGTAAACCTTTAATTAGTTAAGTAATCTTGTAACCTATGTAAACCAATGTAATTTAAATATTGATGGCTTTGAGGGAGCTTAGGCTCCAGAGCCAAATAAAATTTTTTATCTATCTATCTATCTATCTAACTCACCCGATTCGATTTTATAAAGACTATTCAATTTTTATTTATTAATTATTTCATATCATATACACTGATAGAAGGATTTATTAACTATTAGTAATTTAATTTATTTGAAGACAATTACTTAATTTATTAAATTTTAATAAATATTTTTTAACATTCAATAAATATTTATTTGGGAAGAAAATACATTCATTAATATTTAATAAGTATTTATTAATAGTTGACAAATATTTATTAACAGTTAATAATATTTTGTAGAGTGAATTTGTTTCGATTGCAATGTCATATGATGTATGAAGATTGCTTATAAATAAAAATCATCTTTATCAATTATTTGCATTGTTTATAATTTACGTTTATTGTAAAATACAAAATTCTATCACAGCTCATAATTATCTTTTATATTTTCAAACATTAAAAACGTTAATTTATCTAGTGAATTTAATTATTATCATATATTTCAGCTGTAGGGTTATAAAAAGTATCAAAAGAAAATTGTTATTTTTGCTTTTTATTTTAAATTAATATTTTTTCAGTTAAAAAATATTCATTAACCATTAATAAATATTTATTAACATTTAATAAATCGTATACAGAAAAAAAAATTTACTTGAATCAAGTAAATAATTTTGAAGAATTTCATCTTCTTGATTTGAGTAGAAAAATTCTTAAATTTGATCCAAGATAATTTTTTTTCTGTGTATTTAATAAATAATTTACTAGCTCTTAATAAATATTTCTTAAATCCTATAATGTTAAAAAATCATTTATTAACTTAACAGCTAATAAAGCTTATTAAATAATAAATTAAATAATTGTCTTCAAATAAATTAAATTACTAATAGTTAATAAATTTTTCTATCAGTGTAAATTAGTTTAAAATAATAAATTCTTTTTAATTAATAATAATAATAAATTAAAAAAATTAATTATTATCATTATTTTAAAATATAAATATAAATAGTAATAATAACAAAAGTATGTACACATTGGATATAATTAGGATCCCCGTACCTGATTGTCAATTATTGTATCATCATGATTCATGATAAATAGAGAAACGCCGAACTAAAACTGAACTCATTACGCTTCTGATTACACAATTAGATTGATGCGCTGATCACGAATGAAGAGATCGTGTATAGAGTGAAAGGTTTTTCCGCGGTAGTGCGTAGAATATAATCTAACATAACAAGAGCCCAGGGTTTCTGCTAACTTCTTCTCTGTTATATTATATCGTATACGGTACATCGTACATCGTACATCGTACATCGTATATACGAAGTCGTATCCTAGAGACCAGAGATCCAGCATTGCTGTAATATAAAATATCACTATTGCTATCTGTAACTAAACTCTGCACGGATATATCTATTCTTATTTTACAGCATAATACTGTACCTCAATTCAATGTACTTTTTATTTAGATAGATGCATGGATATGTACATGTACATGTAAAGTACAGACAAAGTAGGCGGTAGTCTATTGTAGTATTATAACTTATAACCGTGCTGGATTACAATGATTGCGATTTGCAGGTGTCGGATTAGATCGAGGTCATGCCTACTGATCCGGCTCTCTGCTCTCTGACTATAACTATACCTATGAATATTAACTCATTGATACCTTTATATATAAGTTGTTTATATAATCCATTAAATTGTGTTTTATTTATAAGTTATAAGTTATTGGAGGTATTATTGCACCTGTTAATATTATATCTCTTCTTTTTTATTTACAGTTATCTTGTTGATCCTTCAGTTACAACATGACTTCCTATTGTGCAGCGCGGGGGAACCTGGCGTAAGTTTTTTTTTTTATTTGGATTTCAATATTTGATTTTTTTCAAGCTTACTGCACTGACAAAATTTATTTTTATTATCTAATTAGCTGTTAAATTAATTCTAATTAATTTAAATAGAACTAAAAAATATTTTTAAAAATTTATGATGATTTATTCAAAAATAAATGATTTTTTAATGTCAGATAATTAAAAAAAAATTGATAATTAATCAAATAAAATTTATTAACAGTTAATAAAGATTTATTTGGTTGAATGAAAGGTGAGTGTTGAAATTTTTATTTAGACACTTAAAAACTTGATTGAATATAAAAAAAAATTCATTAGATTAGAAAGATTAATAGTTTTTTTTTTATACAAAATTATAACAAAAAAAATCAATAATAAATCACATTCAGTTTTAAAAATAATTAATAAATATTTATTAAAATTAAAAAATTATTGTACCTACTTGATATATTGATAAATTAATAATTTTTTTTTAAATAAATGAATTTATTAATAGTTAATAAATTCTTTCATCAGTGTAAAGTGACAAATTATATGAATAACTTGTTATATACACTATTAATAAATAAAAATAAGAGTTTCAAATGCCATTAAAGTTATTTTTAGAATTTTTTAACAGATAAATTATGACAAAAAATTCCACATGTAGAAATTATGAATGTAAATGTTTGAATGTTAATTTTTTTGCTAAAAAAAATAGTGTTTGCAGGCTCATAATTTGAGTCATAAAAGTTGGATTAATGTAAAAATTCGCTCGTTTGAATGAAAAGAATTAAATTAATCAAACCATTGTAATTCTGCGTGGGTTAATTTAAAAATTTTGCCATTAAATTTGAATAATTTATAAAAAATTTATTATCGAGCAATGTGGGGAATTTTCGATTTATTTTAAATAAATTAAATATTAAATTTTTTCCGTAAAAAAAATAAAATAAAATTTTTTTCAGTACTTAGATTTCGATAATTTGCCGGAGACGAATTTTTCATGCCAGGGAAAAGTTATCGGTGGTTATTACGCAGACGTCGAGGCGGGATGTCAAATGTTCCATGTCTGTACCATTGGTCAAAAAGGTAATTCAGTATCTTATTATTTATTATTATTAGCCAAGAGACATATAAGAGTTGACAACAATAAATAATAAATAATAAATAATAAATAATAACAACCGCAGACTGGTATTATATTGTGTGTTCATGAATCATGATCTCTATTAACGATAACCACCGTTCAGTACATTCACGTCGGGATCGACAGACCAAACGAGCTTAAATATATTCATAATATAATCCATTTACTTAATAATAACGAGCCTTGCATAATAAATACTGATATTATTATATAAATTACAAGGACCACAGGCTCGTGCCGCTGACATTTTTTAATAATTATTTTTAACGGTCTTATTTTTCTTGGCTCAACTCTTAACGGGACACCGGTCTAGATACATTAACACCTGAGAAAGTTGACTCGGTTATTTGCAATCCGATACAATAAATTTTATTATTATTATATATTATATTACATACTAACTTTTACTGTACAATGTACATTACACTTAATTATTGGCAATTTGCGGACAATAAAGCAGTCTTGTCATTGTCTTCTTTCGATAATTGTAGTGTGTAATGTAGCCAATTAATTATTTATAATTAATTAACAGTAAAAAATAAGAATGATTAACATGAATCTCTCGTTTATCGTGAGACGTGGTTACAGACGAGATAATGGACATAAAGTTCCTCTGCCTGAACGGTACGGTGTTCGATCAGGAAACGAGGGTCTGCGAGCGAGTGGACGAGGTCGACTGCAGCAAGAGTGAACGCTTCTACAACCTCAATCTCGAACTTTACGGCAACAATGCCGTGACACTCAGGTAAATGTCAAATCTCAGCTGAGTCATTTGACGATTATCGATTCTATTTTCTCATCTTGCTAATATGTTTTAAAGTTATATTTATTCATTAGCCTTTCTATTTAAAATTAGCCTATCTATTACATTATACACTAAATTCTTAATATTTTTGCATTTTTGCATTAAAATTATTACTATTATCATTATTGTAACTGGTGTTACGCGCCAGTACATTCACCTCGATGTGACGTGGGTACTTTCGCAAGGACCAAAGACACTAATGTAATGTAATGTAATATAAAATAATTTAATATAATTTAATATAAGAATGCCTTTCATTCGGCATACCTCTAATATAAGTATTACGGTTTTCCTAAACCTGCAATTAAATAGATAAAATTTTAATGTCATAGAAGTAGTTCTTATTTTTATTTTTATTACAAATATCCATTACTTTATTTTAATAAAATTTTAATTAGAAAATATATAAAAAATTTTTAATTGCATTTTAAAAGTAGATTTTTATAAAAAAGATTTTTTTATTTTTATTTGAAAAAATAATTTTTAAAAAATAATAACAATAATAATAAAAAATTTTTTAGTTGCATTTTAAAAATAAATTTTTATAAAAAATACTTTTTTTTTATTTTTACTTGAAAAAAATAATAATAAAAAATTTTTTAATTGCATTTAAAAAACAAATAAATTTTTATAAAAGATATTTTTTTTTAATTTTTACTTGAAAAAACAATAATAATAATAATAATAATAATAATAATAATAATAATTTTTTTTAGTTTACACGAGGGAGAAGACGAGAATGAAGAAACACCAGTTGTGATAGAAGACCACCAAGGCAGCGTAACAACCTCAGCGCAATCGAGTACAAGTACAACAAGCACGACCACTCAGCGAGCATTAATCTCATCGACAACCGCCGCGAGTGGGTCTTATCAGCACCCGAGTGGTTATCCGCAGCATTACCAGCCGCAGCCGCCATTCCCGTCCCTTCAAACTAGTCAATCAAAGTCTCTCTATGATGACAAGAACGGCGGTTATCATCGACAGTACATCTATCACGTTGGCAATGAGCCCAATGTCAATGTCAACAATAACAACAACAACAACAACAACAACCAGCAAAATAACAACAACAACAACAACAACCATCATCAACAAAATAATCATAACAACGATAATCGCGCAACATCTTATCAGATATTCAACAACCAAGGCGCTAGTTCAACTACTGGAGCACCTCAAGTCCACCAGATTCATTACAGTTCAACTTCAAACTCCCAAGTAAGCATCAATGGTAACGATGGGTCCTCAATTTTCCACCCCACGTCTTCCACGATCCAGAGCTTGCTGAATGTAAATGGAAACTCGAACAATCCCAGCCTGATAAATCCAATTTTTCACAACGGCGGAATCTCCAGCAGCACTGAGCACTACAACAACGCTCGCGAGACAGTAGACTACCAGACAGAAGCGAACAACAATGATCAGGATGATGAAGAAGATGATGAAGGTGATGCTTCAAGGGATGAAAATCAAGACAGGAGATACTTGGAGCCGATTCAAGCTTCGAACCAGGGAAAAGTTTCAAAGCTAACAACTTCCAGCGGAGTTTCTTCCCACGAGGGCACCAAGTCAAAAATTACCCAATCTCAGTTGTTGCAACATCAACAACACAGCAGAATACCAACTGGTTTTTTGACTATCGCGCAGATGAACAGCGGCGGAGCTCCGCGGCCATTCTTCCCACCGCCTAAGCCAACTGGCAAAACAACGCACCAGTCTCAGACCTCACATGTGACTCAGCACATCCATATTCCTCCAGTGCCCCCAATTCCGCAGCTGAAGCCTCACCAGGTGACGATCAACCTTCCCCCGCCGGACATCCAGAGGATTGTTTCGCAAAACCCTTCGCCGCTGCTGCCTTCCCAGTCTAGGGTTATCGTCACTGCCAAGGCTAGTGTCAGCGACGAATCCGGTCGGCCGCTCAACAGCACTCAGTTGGTCACTTTGCCCTTGCCTACTATTCCCGCCAGCTATGATGATTATAAGGAAGGCGACGAGTCCTTTGATCCTTTTTACAGAGACGTCCCGAAAATTCGCAACACCAGGCGATCTTACGCCTGGGAAGCTATGGAAAACTTCAGGCGGTTTAAAAGGTCAATTGATGATGTAAAAGTCGGAACGCCGATGAGTTATGACGAAGAATATGCTGATGTAAGTGAGAATAACGATACCAAGCTGCTGGAGGTTGATAATAAAGATTATTTAAATGATGATGATGATGATGATGGTGATTATAATTTTGAAGGTAGTTATGAGGTTGAAGGAGAAAAAGAAGAAGTTGATGGACGTGAAGAGCTTCCGGTAGCTGAGAAACAGGTTGATCTTGTGGTAAAGGTCGAGGGAAAAAATATTTCGGAGGTAGACGGTGATGAGTTTAACATCGACAAGAATCTTACTGCTCTTACTAATCTTAATCTTAATCTTAATATGAATAATGAAAGTGATGATAGTAAGGTTGAAGAGAAGGTGGTGGAGGAGGGGGAGGGGGAGGAGGAAGACTACATCAGCTCGGAAGAGTACTCTCAAGTCCCGGCGACTGAGTACGATCTTCTGATAGACGAGCAGGATGATGAGCTGTCAAATATTACGGAATTAATAGTCACTGAAATGATAAATAATTCAACGGAGATAACTATTACAACAGATTATCCAACAACTGTGAAGTCTTATGATGTTAGTGAGGTGAGGAATAATGAGGATAGTGAAAAAAAGACTGATGGAGATGAAGATGGAGTTTTGAAATTCACTGATGAAATTCCTTTGTCGAGTAATGCTGGTTATGACAAAGAAGATGAGGATAAAGTTGAACAAGTTATTGAGTCTGTACCGGTATCTTCAATGCCAATGGATTATGTAGACGATAATTATGAGCCGCAGCATTACCAGGATCAAAAGATTTCGCTTTCTGCTAATGTTACTACTGAAAATGATGACGAGAGAGTAAAAGCTGAAGAAGAAAATAATTCAACCGCTTCGGATGATAATTTTAAGGCTGAAGTCGATTCTAGCACTGGAATTTTTATTTCTTTTACTACTCCCGACACGACTAGTACTTCTACTATGTCTCGTACTACTTCTACAACACCTGGGACTACTTCTTCTAGTTCAACTACAACTACAACCACAACTACAACTACAACTACGACTACAACTAGTACTACAACTTCAAAGCCGTCTAAAACATTATTCAAACCAATTACAACAAGAAAAAATTACAATTACATACCGCCGACTACAACACCAGCTCCAGTAATAATAAAAACTCGTTTACCTTTATTGAATCCCAAACCAGCAAAGCCACCAAAGTCTTACAATGAAATAGCGCCGAAGCCTGTAATTAGAAAAGTTCCTTTAGTCGCGAAACGGGTTACAACTATGCGTAATATTGAAGTTGAATCGACAACTAATTCTATCGACTTGAACAAAAATCCACCTGAAGAAATAGAAGCAAACTTTACTTCTTATTCTTCAACTTCTACAACTACTGAAGTTCCGACGACTGTAACAAGTACAGCGACTGAATCTATTGAAAAATCCGCCGAAATGCTCGGAGATGCAGCGGTCACATCGTCTTTGGAAGAAACGAAGGTAGAAGTTTCTACGACTTTAGCCCCTGAATTAGGGAAGAAATATTTCACGGTTCGCAAACCAATTGATGTGTTTAATTGTCTAAATGTTGATTTGTATCGCTTCTACGCGGACAAAAGAGACTGCAGGTTGTTCCACTATTGTTCGCCGGGCTTTACATCAAGGCAGGTCCTTGATTTTCGGTTCGTCTGCGAAGAAGGAACTGTTTTTGATGAAATATCTCAGAGTTGCGTTTATCAAATGGAAGATTCAAAGTGTCGGAAGAAAGTTTGGTGATATAAAAAACTGGACACTTAGGGTTTAATTATACGTTTGATTTTTTTTTTGACAAGCTCTCTACTTCCATTCGACGGAACACGTTGATTTTGATAATTAGTGAATCCTCGTAGGTTAATTGTATATTGTTTATACATATTATAATTATTCTAGAAGAAATTTTATTAGGTATGATATTATTGATATTATAATATTATGATTAATAGTTTATTAATTAATTAAATTCTATTTTATAATTTTTTTTATTAATTTTAAGTAGTTGAATACTGCCATAACTTGAATGTATGAGTGCAAGTTTAATGGATAAATATGTAATGTATGATTAATTATTTTTGAGTGAGAGGATTCACACTTATTAAAATTAATACCGTTTGTTGGATGGATTTATCATTTTTTAATTAAATTTTTTAATTGGACGAAGACAAGGAAGAAATGAAATTATAAAATATTTTTTTGTACAATCTGACACTATTTTTAAGTAGATTAATTAGGAAAAAAAAGTTGGTAATTTAATATTGATAATTATTATTATAAATTGTAATGATAATTGCAAATATCACCAGCTTTTATAAGTATTAGGTGATTTGCTCAAAATATTTGTTCTTTGCACATACAAATGCATAATATATATTTCTAATATATATTTATATGGCGAATTTTGTTTGCATTGAGCTTTAGTTAATTTTTGTTGCTCAATAGCCAATTTGATTAAGAAGAAATTAGCAACGAAATTTAACTTTAATTTTGACGTTGTTTTTTGTATGATTTATTTTATATAGACACAAAAAAAGACTCGGTAGAATAATTTTGAATGTACATTAAAATGTTTTTAATTGATTTATTTGTTCTTAAAATATTAGTGTGTATTTTTATCTATCAATTAAGATTTAAATTCAAAATGGTGTATATTTTTCATAAACTATTAAATAGTATTATAAATATATATATATTAATAGTTAATTAGTTTATATATTTAACGAACAAACATATTGTTCTCTTCTCTTGTCATTTAGTTTGTATGTTTAAATAAATAAATTTCAAATTAATTTTTTTTATTTTTTCTTCTTTTTGATTGATCATTATTTAAAATAAATAAAAATTATCAATTGTAAAATTGACAGATTAAAAAATGAAAATATTAATTTTTATTAACAATATTAGTAGATTTTTTATATAATGTTAAAAAAAATAATTTATTTAAATAATACAATTGAAAAAAAATAATATCTTAAATTTTATATTCACAATATATATCTTCATAAAAAGAGACATCTGATAATTTTTATAAATTTTTTAATTTAAAAAATTTAGAAAAAAAAAATTTATTTAAAAAATTCTATCTTTAGAAACTAAAAAATTATAAATACAATTTTTTTAAATCTATGAAAATTAATTTAACAAATATTTGATAATTTAAAAAATCTTTTTTAATAAATAAATTATGGCTAAAAAAATTAGAAAAAAAATTGATATGTAGAAATTTTAAAAAGTTGAAAATGAAATTTTGTAAAAATATTTTTTTGGAAAAAAATTGTTTGTTAAAAAAAAATAAAAAATTGTCTAGTGTCTGTCAATTTCATTTAATTAATTTATTTTACAATATAATATTTTAAAAATATTGCATAAAATTCTGTAATATCAATTACCGGCAACTCAGAAAATTATAATATTTTTTTGCGCTTGTAGTTTAAAAAATCAAACACGTTTTGACATAACCTCCATTTATAAATATAGAATATTCAAGATTAGTCTTGTTTAATTGTTTAATTATATGAACTTCATTTAAAAGGAAGACAATTCTTGATTATTCTATATTTAACTAGTGAATTCAATAGTTTTTAAAAATCAGTAACAATAATTGTATATATTTTATAAATAAAATCAATAATTAGTTTTTAAAAAATAGCATATGTTCAATGCAGTTAGACAACTTATAAATCCACTAAGAAAATCAGTTTATTTTTCCAAACTAAAAGTAATAAATCACCCAAAAAATTTAAACAAAGTGTTGAACTATTTTTCTACAATGACAAGTGAAATTACAATTGGTACTCACGACGGATGTTTTCACTGTGATGAAGCATTGGCTTGTTTTATGCTCAAGCAATTGCCTGAGTATAAAAATGCAACAGTAATCCGGTAATTATTTATTTATTCACTATTTACGAATTTATGAAAATTAAATTAGCTGATATTTGATAACTTTAAAAATTTTTGTAACAAATTATGGCAAAAAAAATTAACATGTAGAAATTTAAAAAAATTAAAAAATGTAATTTTTTCAAAATAATTTTTTGGAGCAAATTTGTTTATTAAAAAAACTTAAAAAATTTTCAAGTGACAGCTAAATTTAATGTCACACAAATTTATGAAAATTAAATTAGCTGATATCTAAAAATTTTTATAATAATTTGATTGAAAAAAATTAAGTTCGCCGACATTTAAAAATTTTTATGAAAATGAAGTTAGCTGACATTTCAAAATTTTTAGAAATTTTTTTATCCAAAAAATTTCAATTGAACAATTAAAAGAAAAATATCACTTGTTAAAAACTTGAAAAACTATAAGTGCAATTTTTTAAAAGATCTTTTTAGTTGTAATTTAATTAAAAAAAAAAATCAAAAATTTTTAGACCTCTGCTAACCTCAGTGTCATAAATTTTTAGTTTTTTTTTATTGAGAAAAAAAAAATTTTTCACTTGTAAAAGACTTTAAAAACTGTAAGTGTAACTTTTTAAAAATATTTTTTTGTTCTAATTTAATTATTAAACAGAAATCAAAACATTAAAAACGTCGGCTAACTTTAGTATCATAAAAAAATTATTAAAACAAAAAATTTGAATTAAATTAAAATTAACAGACATCTGACAATTGTTTTAATTTTTATAATTGAATTTTAATAAAAAAAAATTTCACATTTTTATTGATTCATAAAATTGTCAAATGTTTGCTAATTTTAGTATCATTAAAAATTTTCACAATAAAAAATCAGTAATTAAATTTAATAAAATATTTTCTAACAGGTCGAGGAATAAAAAAATCTTGGACCCTTGTGACATCGTAGTAGATGTAGGAGGAGAGTACGATCCGTCAAAACATCGGTACGACCATCACATGCGAGAGTTCAAAGAAACAGCAAATTCAGTGTTGAAGCGAGATGATTGTCCGTGGGACATCAAGTTGAGCAGTGCTGGCCTGGTCTACTGTCACTTTGGCCACAGAATTCTTAAGCAAATGCTACCAGAAGTGATTGAAGACGCTGACATCCACATCATTTTCAAGCGCGTCTATGATTCGTTGATCAAAGAAGTCGACGCTATTGACAACGGGGTTCCGATGTTTGACGCAGAACCCAAGTATCGAATCGTCACCAACTTGAGCGCAAGAGTTGCCAGGCTAAATCCTGAATGGAATAGTCAAGGCTTGGATTCTGATGGTCAGTTTGCTAAAGCTGTAGAATTATGTGGAGAAGAGTTTAGGTATTTTGTTGAAAGCTCTGCTCGTATCTGGCTCCCGGCGCGCGAGTATGTTCGTCAAGCTCTTGAGAAGAGATTTGAGGTAATATATTTTTTTATTTGTATTTTAAAGAATTTTAAGTCAACTTTCAATAATTATTTAATTATTTAATTATTTAATTATTTAATTAATTTAGGTTGACCCGAGTGGTGAAATTTTTGAGCTCCAAACGTCAGTGCCGTGGAAAGACCATTTCTTTGAATTAGAAAAATCGATGAATATCAGCCCTCCGATAAAATATGTGATATTTAAAGATAACAGTTGGAGAATCCAATGTATTCCAGTTAGTCTAGGAAGCTTCATTACACGGTAAATATTTAATATCTATATTATTAAAAGAACAAGAAAAATTTAGTCTCAGGGATAGTTATCTGATAAAATCGGTTTTTTTAGTCATTACAAAAGTCTTGACTTGAATTTGTGCTTTTTCAAGGTTTCATATCATTCTCACCGATAGTCAATTTATTATGATAAGTATTTAGGCTGCATTCGAAAATGCTCGATCTTTAAATACATAATTAAGAAATGACCTTGTATTTTGTGAAATACTGACATTTTTAAAGATATGAGCTCATCCTGATGTTACATACATCAAGACCTTTCATTTGAGTACCCACATCAATTTTTCATATATTTATATATATATATATATTATACATATGTACATATGAAAAATATATAAAAATGCATGTGGGTACTCAAATGAAAGCTCTTGATGAGTGTAACATCAAGATGAGCTTATATCTTTAAAATATCAATTATTAAGAAATTACCATGTATCTTGTGAAATATTGAAATTTTTAAAGATATAAGCTCATCCCGATGTTACACTCATCGAGACCTTTCATTTGAGTACCCACATCGATTTTTCATATATTTATATATATTATATATTTGTATATATGAAAAATATACCAAAATGCATGTGGGTACTCAAATGAAAGCTCTTGATGAGTGTAACACCAGAATGAGCTTATGTCTTTAAAAATGTCACTATTTAAGAAAATACAGTGCAATTAAACAAATATCTTGTGAACTATTAACATTTTTAAAGATATAAGCTCATCTTGATGTTACACTCATCAAGACCTTTCATTTGAATACCCACATCAATTTTTCATATATTTATATATATTATATATATGTATATATGAAAAATATATCAAAATGCATGTGGGTACTCAAATGAAAGCTCTTGATGAGTATAACATCGGGATGAGCTTAAATTTTTAAAAACGTCACTATTTAAAAAAGTACAGTACAATTTAACAAAAGTCATTATTTAATTTTTTAAATAAATTTTTTTTGCTAAAATTTATTAATTCAATAATTTTTTTAAATTGTCAAATGTTTCACAACTTCAGTATCATTAAAAACTGAGCTTTAAAATAATACATCACCCTGAAAATTTTACAGATTGGCTTTACCAGAAGAATGGGCAGGCTTACGTGACGAAGAATTGACTCGAGTTTCTGGTATCGATGGGTGCATATTTGTCCACACTGTCCGCTTCATTGGAGGTAATGAGACACGCGAGGGTGCCCTTGCGATGGCACAAAAATCATTGAAACTAAATCAACTGAAAAATTCTCAATGATATGAATTTACAAATTATAACTAAATAAAATTATACTAGACAATTTTACACTTTTTTAATTCCGAAGTTAAATAATAAACTTTGATAAATATTTAACATAATTTATTTTTTATATCAAAATCCAAATACATTTAATCGACAACAGTAAAAAAAGGGGCGTTAATTAATTTAAAGACTAAATTAATTAATAGTAATGGCCGTGGTGGTGGGATTCAGCAGCAGCTTTGGCAACTTCAGCGAAGTGAGCAGCTTTAGCGTGAGCTACCTCAGGGGTGTCAACGACGTTGCCGTCTGGTCCAAGAGGAGCTCCGCCGTAGGCGTAACCGTGTCCGTAAGAGTGAGATGGGGAGTAGGCGTAAGCAGAGTAAAGTGGAGCGGCGTAAGCATGACCGTAACCGTGTCCAGTCTTAGCGGCTTCCTAAAAAAAAAAAAAAAAAAAAAAATTGATATTAATTTATTTAAAAATTTTCTAGAGAAATTTAAAAATGATAGAATTTAAAAAACTAACGTGAGCATGGGCAGCGAGGTGGGCAGCCTTGGCATGAGCGACCTCGGGGGTGTCGACGACACGTCCATCGTGAGCCAAAGGTGCCGGGGGTCCGTGGTGAGCGATTGTTGGTGCGAAGACGTGGCTCACATGTGGGTGAGAGTAAGCGAGTGCTGGAGCGTAAGCGTATTCGTGGTGATCATCGTGGCCATAGTGTCCGGCGTAGCCGTGGCTGTTACGGGCCGCTTCGTGAGCTTGAGTTGCCAAATGAACTGCTTTCGCGTGAGCTACTTCCGGGGTCTCAACAACGCGGCCATCGTGGGCCAGTGGAGCTGGTTGCTGGTGGTAACCGTACAGGTAGCCTGGTGCTGCTGATGATACTGCGGCGAGGGCAGCCAAAAGAATCTGAAAAATAATTAATTATTTAAAAATTAAATTTTTTTTTGAGAAAAAAAAATCAAAATTAATTTTTTTTTTTTTAAGTTAAAATTAATTGTTTTGAGAAAAAAAATTAAAATTAATTTTTTTTTTTTTGAGAAAAAAAAATCAAAATTAATTTCTTTTTTGAGACAAAAAAATCAAAAATAATTTATTTTTGAGAAAAAAAATCAAAATTAATTATTTTTTTTTTAAATTAAAATTAATTTTTTTGATAAAAAAAATCAAAATTAATTTTTTTTTTGACGAAAAAATCAAAAGTAATTTTTTTTTTGAGAAAAAAAAATTAAAATTACTTTTTTTTTTAAGAAAAAAAATCAAAATTAATTTTCTTTTGCGCCAAAAATTTTGCAAGTTCTCAAATAATTTTTTGATAATTAAATTTTATAAAAAAAAATTAAATTTTTAGGGTATTACTTCCCTGTAGAAAAAGATATTATATATGTAAAATTACTAGCATAATTTGCGGAAGAATATACGCATCGCGTGCGTTACATTCTTTAAAAATAAAAGTGGAAAGTTTTTAAATTATATAGAATAATTCTAACAAGTTATATACTTTTTTTCTCATTCGTTTTCATTACTAAACCCGAATCGTATGTGAAAAAATGACGATAAAAAGAACTTGCAATGTTGTGTGGAATAAGCTTTTTTGCGTTAAAACTTTTAAGGACTACCGAGTAATGTAATTATTTATAATTACAATTCTTAGAAATAAAAAAAAAAAGTGTTGTAATAATTATAAAATTATTAAAGTGAAGTAAAAAAAACTAAGTATTTATAGTATAAGGTAAAATAATGAAAAAAAAAAAAAATACTCACGAAAGTCTTCATTATAAATAAATTAATGTTAGATAAAAGTTTATAAATTATTTAGTGAGGTCTGCGCTGCTGGGTTTTCCAGTATTCGCTGACGGGACTGTTGTGCTGTACCAAGAACCGAGTACCCTTTTTATATATATGGTAACAATCTGGTAGGGAGCTGTTTCATGTGTTATGGAATGATATGGTGGGATAAATCAATATACTATGCAACACATGTAATAATATTCATATTTACGTTACAGGTGTATTTCTTCGGAGTTTAAAGTACAGTGACATTGACATTACTTGACGAGGAGCCCTGTACCTGTTTGCGACAGGTGCTTTGTCTATCTAGTTAGCTTGCTCCAGCGGTTACAAACCTCACTAGTGTTCTCACTAGATACTCTCGCCCTTCTCGATTCGCTAACGACCGCGAGGTCATTTATTATTTCTCTTGTCTGTGATATTAAATACAATTTCAATTTTATTTTTATGTGTTATTATTTACGTCAAATACTTGTGAAAGTATTTTTTTTTCTTCATTCTAATAACAATCATCGTGATTATTATTAACCATTGCTCAATTAATTTTAATTCATCCCCGTAATGTTCAATTAAATTTTTTATCATTGCGAAAGAAGATAACAAAGGAATTTTATTTATTTAAAGTTTATATTTAAAAAAATTTTTTTTTTATTTAATTTTAGTTTGTAATTTATATTTTTGAATTTTTACTTTTAATTCAAATTTTTCTTAAGATAAAAAATTATAAAATTAAAAATTTTTTCATAAAAAATTTTTAAAAAAATGTATTGTAATTTTTTTTGTACTAAATGTTTGATTTTAAAACTGAAAAAAAAAATTTTATCATAAAAAATTTAATTGAATTTTTAAAAAAAAATTTATTGCAATTTTTTGGTACTAAATGTTTGATTTTAAAACTAAAAAAAAAATTAATTTTTATCATAAAAATATTTAAAAATTAAAAAATGAATTTGATATATATTTATAACTAATAATTTAATAAAATAGAATGTCAATAAATAAAAATTAAATTGAATAAATTATAAAATGTTATGTTAGGTAACAAGGACAAACATTTGCTACAAAAACTAAAAAAATATGTAAATACTTGTGTACAAATAATAATTTGATGTATTAAGATTACATATAAGTATAATCTTATAAAGACCGGAAGCGTATGATTTCAAGATATAATAATAAACTAGTCGACCGTGAGTAATTTATTCCAGTAAAATAAATAATTATTCAGGCCCTTTTACTAAAAATATAACGAAGTAATTATCAGGCCCAAAAAAATATTTAGATGAAGAAAAGAATTTTTTGAAAGCGAAAGTACACTGCTGTCAATCACGTTTTACGTTTTTAATTGACCGCTTGATCGAACTTGGACATGAGTGATCTACAAAAGTAGAGTCATCGAAGGACGGATTAATGTGTACGTCCTCGAAGATGAATATTGTTTCTCGTCTCACATTTTTAAAAGCTGATAAAATCTTCCATCGTCTTTGTAATGATTGATAGTGTAAGCACAAGTACAAGTATAATATAATAGCACTATTGTAATTATTACAACAGAAAAAATGAAATCGGTATTAATAAATAGTAATTAAGAAATATTGCGTGGAATTCGAATAGAAAAGACTTGATAACAAATACCGAGAATAGTTGGTAAAAAGTGAAACAGGTTACTCCATTTAAAAAGGATTGTTATCTGATATCAGTCTGTTTGTATGTATACAGATATACGTACAGGTAAACTCGTTACGCACGCGTGGTTTTACTCGTGCACCCGGGTCACCACAGTACCTTAAAAGTGCCGTTCATGATTTCTTTCTTATTGATAAAGAAAATAATAAAAAATAATTAAAATAAAAGTATATTAAACGCTGACATAAACTAAATCGTCATGCAACTGTGTAGGATCAAGCCTTTCCTTCTGGGCGAGTCTTGTAGGCGTAATAATGGAACCACAGTTTTTATATTCCAGTGAGGTAATCACGCGACCTACCTTGCGTCGTTTAAATAATCTCAATAATATTGTTTTAACGTTTAGTTTCATTTTCATTTAATTCATATTTTCGTTATCGCTCTTGTTACAATTACCTTTTTTTTCCTAAGTGGAGTTCTTACGGAAGAAAAAAGTTTTGATACTGTAAAAATGAGTGTGTTAAAATTACACAGTACATCTCGTGTTATTTTTATAATACAAGATTAATTTATCATGATTATGTTAATTTTATGCTTTAGAAAATTTATTTTCTGTAATTTTATGTCTTCAATAGTTTTATTTTTTTATATTAAATTTTATAAAAGTAGTCCTATATATATATATATATATAGACTGAAAGAAAAAAAATTTTTTTTTAAATAAATAATGTAATCTATCTATACTTATATTATAAAGAGGAAAGATTTGATTTTTTGTTTGCTTGTTCGTTTGCATTGAATAGGCTCCGAAACTACTGCGATTTTAAAAATTCTTTCACTGTTGGAAAGCTACACTATCCCAAAATGATTTTAGTACTTATTTTCCCAAGTGATGTTAGCTACAAAATAGATACTAATTAAATCAAAAGTTATTATATCTAATTATACAAATTATTTTGTAACTAAACATTTTTATGTATAATAATGCAAAAATTTATAATTTATTTATTAGATGTAAAATTAAGTGACCTTGTTACTGGTCCTTGGCTGTTAGGTCTTTTTCAAACAAATAAATAAATAAATCCTCGGGTAACACAAGATAAATTATATTTTCAAAAAAATTAGGTATCCTTACTTAAAACTCCAATTTTTGTTAAATACCCGTACGAAGCCGGGGGGGACTGCTAGTAAGAAATAAATTTGTTAAAAATTTTGAACAATTTTATTTTTTAGCGGAAGAAATAAAATTTTTTTCTACAGTTACTTTTTTGTTGAAAAAAAGTTTTATATATTTGGAAAAAAACAATTTTGGATAAAAATTCGCAATTTTATTTCAATTATTTTTTTTCCAAATAAAAAAAAAAATTTTTTTGTAAATTTTTCAAAAAATTAATTTCTTGTCACAAAAATGCCCATTTATTTCATAAGAAATTTTTTCTCAGTGTCCATAAGTTTAATTCATATAAGTAACTTCTTTTATAAAATTTAAAGTCAACAAACTTACAAAGATAATTTTATCTGAGAAAAAATTTGTCACTTTGTTTTCTTCTTTCAAAATTTTTTTACAAATTAAATGCAGTAAAAAATAAATTCAAATTATAAAAATTAATTTAATAAATTTTTTTTATGAAATAAAAAATTACATTATTAATCTGCTACAATAAAATTGTTAAGTTTATAAATATTCAATTAAAAAAATGATAATTTTAAAAAAGTGTAAGTATGACACCAAAAAAATAAAAAATATAATATTAAATTACACATGTAAACTATTAATATAATAAAAATTAAAGTTTTCACACCATGTGCTAGTATCTTCCTAAATAATTCATAGCTTGTTGAACCGTTTGAAATGATCAGCGATGCGGTAGCCAGTGATTGCCCACCATTATGAAATAAAATAGTTATTCTGTAATTTATTTAATTATAATACGCGAGTGTAAGCCATACCCGTAAATATAAATATATAATTGTAACAAATAAATCCAGTTTAAGAATCTAGAGCGCAAAGTTGAGCGAGGATCCTTGTACATACTTAAGCATAACTCAGGCATTATAGCAGTATAGTAACAGTAAGAGTAACCACTACAACTACCGTTGTGGATGCAATATGTAATTTGTTGTCTAATTTCATGTGTATTACGCTTACAGCATAAAAATCTTCAGGGCGTGTCTTTTTCTTACACTTTGCGACACTCGGTAATGCCAATGCTGCATCAACACAACATTTAACAATACAACAGAACAGGAAAATTAAAAATACCGTCAATCTTGTTCTTATGTGATGTGTTATTAAATTTAAAAGCTTGATATTATAAATAGCTGAGTGATTCTTATTGAGAATACTCCAACTCTGTTACTATTAACTATTAACTATAGGCCATAGTTAACTATTATTTGTACTGTACTGTATTGTGCGTTTATTTGATAAATAGTCCTGTGGATTGAACATAAACATAATTTTCTGTGTACAATAAACACCAAGATAATATAAAGCTAGTGAGGCTTCTAGTCTGATAGTTGTAAAACTACTTCAGATTGTATGGGTGTTTTTAATGATAGATTACTGATATCATAGACGGCAAACGGCAATAAGTTATGTTTTCTCTTTTAGAAGTATATATATATATATATATATATATATGTATGTATAAGGTATGACGAAACAAAGCATCTATCTTTGGAAGTTAATTCATGATAGTCATTCCGGCACGCCCGATTCTATCCTCTATCCTCTATCGTCGATTATGGATCGCATTGTGGATTGTGGATGCTCGGACTTGTATATGGGTATGGATTTTATTCGCAATATTTTACTCGGGCGTATCGTGAGATTCTTACAACCATCATTCCTTTTTAGTGTGCCGGTGATGAATTGATGGTTGATATTTTAACAGAACAAATTGCGAAATTTGGTTCAAATTTAACTTAATTTATTTTTTTTATTGAAAAGTAGATTATAAAAATGTAAAATATTTTAAAATATTAATTAATTTTTTTTAATATTAATTTTAAAATATTACTATTATTATTATTATTATTAATATAATTTTTGAAATTAACTAACAAAATTTGAACTTAATAATAAATTGTTATCAAAATAAATAAATAAAATTTATTTTAAGACTAAAATTAAAAATAAATTATCCTTTTTCCCAAAATTCAATGATAAGTTAATTACAAAACGTTGAAAGAAAAAAAACTAATTTATTGGGCTGATGATTAATAAAATTCTCACTCATGTATGATGCAAACTAAAATTGAATAAAGATTGCAGTAGTATAAAAATAATGACTAAGAAAGTGAGTTAATACATCATACATAATATAATACTTACACTTACACTAATATTAACTCGGACTTAGCGATTGTGGCAAAGAGTGTAATATATAAGTGTGTACTAAAATGTTTCGAGGTTCATTCATTAATGCAGAAAAGATTGTGTGACAAAGGCGTGTCCTACGGAGGCGGATATTGCTCTGGAATGTCTATTGTATTATGAGTCTGTGTACCACTATCGTTAAATGTTTAATACAATTTCTTAATATATCAGTATCTCTTTTAAATTATTTTTTATTTATTACAAATATTTAAGATTTTATTTATTACGGATGTCGTTGCCGTTTTATTCAATGGGTGTAGCTCGCTGCCCTGTCGCGAAGCTATATTTTATCTTTCTCCTAAGTAAATTACTATTATGCAACATTTATCATTTACATCATCTTAAAATATGTCAATAAAAAAAATTTTATTATATCAATTATTATAAAT